CAAAAGTAACACCTCCAAGAGTAGTATATTGTGGTTCACCACCAGCGATACCAGCAACTAAGAAATAAGTTTTGGTCAAATCGAATAACGGAGAAAGGGTTAAAGCAGTCATTGAAGCAGCGGCATTGATTTCACCTTCACCAATGGTAATTTGACAGACAGTGTAGTTGGTAGTACAATGAATGGTTGAGTACATTGGGGATAAACCTGGGACAGTTATGTTTTGAACAAAGTCCATTGATTGCAACCATGGGTCTCTTTCTAATTCGAACATGGAGATCACAAATGCTTTTGGTTGATAGATGGCAAATGGCTTACCGTGGGAAGTTTGGACATTGTGGTTAGTGGTTTCATCGTTTGATTTGTGTTTGATAGGTTGAGAAAGAGCCGAGCCAAGAAGACAACCGGCTACTAACAAGTTGAAAAATCTCATTTGAATTGTGTAGAAGGGATACTGGTTTGGTTCAATTGACAAGGATTCGTTGCTTGAGAATTTCCCCATTTATATAGTTTTTGGGACATCCATATTAGGCTTCGAATATTTTTTGATCAATATTTTTTGTGCCTTATTTAAGGGTGGGCTTGTTTCTCATCAAATGATTTTATATCCTGGAATCTTTGAATCCTTTTAGACAGCACAAGTAATTAGAGATGTGTCCCCTATAATCTCCACGACATTCATCTCTCGTTTTGTTTTCCATTGATTTCTTTTCGAACAATTCTTCAACATTACCAGCAAATCGATGGTCAAGATTACCTTCGTTAGTCCTACTTACGATGACCCAGGCCCCAATTTCAAACCATTTGCCCTATTATAAAAGAAAGACGGGTAGAGTAATTTCCGAAGATAATTACCTTATTAGATAAACTCAATTTCTGACTTCGTCTGCATTATTGTCTGTTCTCGAAATAGATCACAAAACTTATTTTTTTAAGTAACTCAATCTGTCAAAAATATTTTTTATGCACAAGTTTTTCCCGAGAATAAGAACAAGGGCCCCTTTATAGTCGAGTGACAAGTTTGAGCGGCTAATGATACTGAAAAGCCTCCGTCATCTCAAACTATTGACAATTTCGACTCTGGTCCCAAGTTGTTTTTTTACATGAGGAAATATATGAAACCATCACATGCTGTCTCAAATGTAGGATAAAGTAAGATGGCATTCGGGTAAAATCCCCTCTTGGAGGCGTAATCGGCACACACATTTCTTTAGCTTTTTGGTTACTTAGATGAACTTTCTGTGTCGGATATATTGAATCGGCAAGCGGGACTGAAAGGCATCTGGTCGATAGTTTGTTTCAGAACATTGCGCAATGAACTAAAAAAATTTTACGAATACATGACGAGTGTTTCCTAATTGGGAAAGAACCTCGGATGATATGTAATTATGGCATGGATCTCTTAGAATTTCACAAATACTGATTTTCATGATCTGATAGATAAAATACTAGTCTATTTGGTCATTCGGTCATCATCTATCCTTACCGGTTGGCTGAATAATACCAAGTTGGTCTAGAATAATGTGTTGTTCCAGGATTTTTGTGAAATAAATGCAGAAAAATTAGCTAGCATTGAACAACAAAAGAACGTCAAGAGTACTCGGAAATTGAGCAGGAAAGTTGCCCGTATTACATGTAGCTTGTTTATTTCCAACAAACATCAAAGCGAAATGTCTATTATAAAAACCTTCAGGGGTAACTTCGGAAATACAATTAGTTCATTTAGAGGGGTCACGTGATCTGCGATGACATGTACATTTCGACGGAGTTTTGCCACAAGAAAAGTCCAAAAAGACAACCCCATTTACAATGCTTAGGTAATCATTTAGAAGTATCGGCTGTGGCTACTCGGGAGAAAACATCTACAGAAAAATCCATAGGCTTTAAGTCCTAAGCAAGTTACTTAGAATCTGGGGAAAAAACCGGAAAAATCATACCATAATCTTCCCGTGTGAAATTAGACAAGGCTTTTTTCGGTTGTCGGCATTTCGTCGAAGATATTTGTATCAGATTCATAAACTCCTTATTAGAGAACTATCTAAGAAACACGATTCCAAAGTGCCAAGAATCTATTGTTTATGTCCGTAAGGACAATGAACCTTTGCGGTGGAAAACACGGAAAAATTATTCTGGATGAATAATCTTTGCGAGAATGGTCCAAGAAACGGCACTTTTCTCCAAGTCTATTGTATTCATTTCACTTCCGACGCTATAATCAGGAGGTTCTATTGAACCACAAACCACATTTCACTTGATATCTTGATTGCTGCTATCCTCAAGAACTGGCGTGGGAGGGGAATTAAACCCATTAATATTACGCTCCAGAAGTTTACGCTGAAGAATGACCCTGACTACATGTGAGTAACGAAAAATAGATGGTGAATGATACAATAACATTACGGGAAAAGTAGGCATTCGTTTCAAATACCTCTTGCAATTTTCCTATAGCTCAAAGAGATCCAAAATGTTCAGAATCACGTCTTCAAATTATACACATCTTATGAAGCTCAGTAAAAAAAAGAAGAGGTACATATTTTCTCCAACTGAGCCAATATAACAATGCAAAAGTACAGGAAAGACTAGGTATACCGGAAGGATAACCCTCTCGATAGTGAAACTTTGCCGGCAAGCAACCTCAATATTTATTGTGTAGAAGAAAATGTGTAAGTTCGGGTAGATGTAATGATTATTTTTTCCGCTATTGTTCTGATCCAGATGATACATCTTCCCGAACCCTACCCCAGATAGTTTTCGACGAACAACTACAAAGATCAATTAATATACTTTGTGGGGATGAATTACTTTAAAGTGAATCCTCAGCAATATAAATATGCTTGAAAGAACTTCAGAAGCAGTGAGAATTTGTTCTCTTATTTTTCAGAGATCATCAAATCAAAAACACATTTACAAAGATGCATGGAGGAGCCGACGGTAATAACGTGCAAGAATTAATTGCACAAAGACGTTTACAATTAGCAGGAAAAAGTGGACTTTCAGGATTAGCTGCAAACAAGAAATCCATGTTCATTGCCATATTTGCCTCTCTTGGTGGTCTAGTCTATGGTTATAACCAAGGAATGTTTGGTCAAGTTTCTAGTATGCCTTCATTCGAAAAAGCGTCAGGAGTTGGGACCATTCAAGATAATCCAATTTTACAAGGTTTATTAACTTCGATTTTGGAATTAGGTGCCTGGATAGGTGTTTTGATGAATGGGTTTGTAGCTGATAAGTTTGGAAGAAGATGGTCAGTTGTTTTTGGGGTCCTTTGGTTTTTCGTTGGTGTTATTGTTCAAGCTTGCACCCATGGCGGTGATTACAACTTTATTCTCGGTGGTAGATTTGTGGTCGGGGTTGGGGTTGGTATACTTTCGATGGTTGTCCCATTGTATAATGCTGAAGTTTCTCCACCTGAAATCAGAGGGTCTTTAGTTGCTTTACAACAATTAGCTATTACATTCGGGATTATGATTTCATATTGGATCACATATGGTACTGACTATATTGGAGGATCTGGAGAAAAGCAAAGCTCTGCTGCTTGGTTGGTTCCAATTTGTATCCAAATAGCCCCTGCATTGATTTTGGGTTCTTGTATTTTCCTTATGCCAGAGTCTCCAAGATGGTTAATGAATGAAGGACAAGAAGAAAAGTGTTTAGACGTTCTTGCCAAATTGAGAGGCTTGGATAAAAACAACGATTTGATTCAAATGGAGTACCTCGAAATGAAAGCTCAGAGAATCTTCGAAAAGGAATTAGAAGTTAGCGCATACCCTCATTTACAAGATGGGTCTACTTTATCCAACTTTAAAATTGGGTTTTTGAAGTACAAGTCGATGATTACCCATTATCCCACCTTCAAGAGAGTTTCTGTTGCTTGTTTGATTATGATGTTCCAACAATGGAGTGGCGCTAATTTCATTTTATACTATGCACCATTCATCTTCAACTCCTTGGGTTTATCAGGGAGAACAATCTCCTTATTAGCTTCGGGTGTCGTTGGTATTGCGATGTTCGTTGCAACTATCCCAGCGGTCTTATGGGTTGATCAATTAGGTAGAAAACCAGTCTTGATCTCTGGTGCAATCATTATGGGTCTGTGTCACTTTATAGTTGCAGGTGTTTTAGGTGGTTACGGTGGAGATTTTACAGGACATGCAGGTGCAGGTTGGGCTGCTGTTGTTTTCGTCTGGCTCTTTGCTGTCGCGTATGGTTATTCTTGGGGTCCATGTGGTTGGGTCATCACAGCCGAAGTCTTTCCGTTAGGTATGAGAGCTAAGGGGGTGTCCATTGGTGCATCATCGAATTGGTTGAACAATTTTGGTGTTGCTATGGCAACTCCAGATTTCGTAGCTAAAGCTAAGTATGGTGCGTACATTTTCTTAGGTTTGATGTGTATCTTCGGTGCTGTTTATGTTTACTTCTTCTGTCCTGAAACCAAGGGAAGAACATTAGATGAAATAGATGAATTATTCGGTGATACTTCTGGAACATCCAAGAGAGAAAGTGCTATTCATAACAGAATCCTCAAGGAAGTTGGATTAGTAGACTTAATGGGTATTAAAAATTTGGATTCGGACCTGAAGGAGGAGGAAATTGCGACAGAGCTTGCTGATGTTGAAACTCAGAGCACTTGAAAGAACAAGGTTTCTTTTTAGCTAGTGTAGTTATGTTTTTAGTTCTCTTAGTTCATATCACACCGTGTATGTGTTTAAATTATAAAATATACAATTTGAAATAATTAACCGTGATGAGAAGACTAAGTTGGATCCATTTTTGAGATGACATTGTAGCCGTTTTGAAAACCACCAATTTACCTTCGTATACCGCAAAAAACTCATAACTTTGATGATGTCAGTAAAGATGCCATTCTTGACCTTCCTCAGAAAAGTTTCATAATTTGCGACATATGTCTGTAATTATGAGGTAGTAGAGGAGCTTGTAAAATAAACAATGGAAACACCCACTCCGAATTATACTTCGAGCGATGCGGGACTTCCAAACTGTTCCCCATCGATTTACTTTGTGTCGGGAAACAATAGGAAAAAACAAGGAAGGTGGTATTATCAAGTAGACCACTCTTCCCCAAGGGGGCTCCGACACCCTGATATCCCGAGCGGTGTGTGTGTTAAGCAGCGTGTGTGTATTTGCCAAAGGTTCAGAATATTTTTTCCAAGGCTTTTCCGTTTATTCTAGCTTTTGTTACCAAAAATTCACTTAGCATGGAAAAACCAGATGCATAAAATTTCCATAAAGTAGATGCAAGGAATACGTCATACTTTGTTTCAAAGGTCAACGTCAGCATCAGATGAACTAATTAAAGGTCTCGAGAGTACATGTCCGATACATACTGAATATTATCTAGCCAGCATGCTACCGCCTTACTGAGCCTTCCAAAAAAGAAATCAATGTCGCCGAAGAATCCGGAAAATCTTTCAGTTCGCCGAGGGAATAAAAAATAATGCTGCAGTCCGTGTGCAGTATCGCAAAACACTTAGGAGATAGATTGGCATTAGAGGGGCTAGAGGAGTCGCCGAAACGAGTACCCTCTATCGAAGAAGGTAGTATACTCTTCCTTTATTGTAACTCCTTTACCTGGAGAAAATACGGAGAAATAACGCAAGGCTTATTAGATGCCATTTATATGACGTTTTTTAGATCGCAAAAATTTTTTGTTGCAAATGAAAAAATAGAATAATGTTGTACAAAAGAAATTCCGAAATTAAACGGTTGAGGGGAAGGTTAATCCCCGGCAATAAGAATAGGTTTCCTTTATAGTGACCGGATCGCTTTTGTATCCTATTGTCTACATTTGGAATGTGTTACTTGTCCCGGCGGATTATTTATTATTTTTTGCAAGTAAATACCGATTATTTTTTATTATGGATTATTCTATCAATGGAAAAGTTATTCCTGGATATGTGTGACACAATAACAATTACCAGATCGAAATAATTTACTATTGTGGTCCTGTGGGGAGTGCAGTTGGGGAAGGTGCATCATAGTGGTGGAGGAATCCCAGAAAGTTTGCTGCTTAGTGACATAAGTTCCTTGTCATTGTACAACCACAACAGGCGGATAATTTATTTTTCTTTGGAATGGGCTTAGTCCAATAGAAGTTCAAACCTAATACTACCAATACAATAGTTTTGAGTTAGAAAAGCTGCAAATTGGATTAATTAGTTCGGGGACTCTTGCGGGGACTAGATTTGGGGAAGGTGAACCACATGGTATAGTACAAAACTCGAATACTATAAATAAAGTTCAAATTCCTCCTTAATACTATTCAAGTTTTTCCATTTTTTATTAGCAGCATTTGCATTTACTAAATATATACATATAATACATAAAAATGCACGGTGGTAGTGAAGGAAGTGAAGTGCAAGAACTCATTGCACAAAAGCGTTTACAAATCGCTGGAAAAGGTGGGATTTCTGGTCTTGTTGCCAACAAGAGATCCATGTTTATTGCCTTTTTCGCCTCTCTTGGTGGTTTAGTCTATGGTTATAATCAAGGTATGTTCGGACAAGTCTCCGGTATGGATTCCTTTTCTAAAGCTGCTGGTGTCGGTGCTATCCAAGACAACCCAGTTTTACAAGGTTTATTGACCTCCATTTTGGAATTAGGTGCCTGGATTGGTGTCTTAATGAACGGTATTGTTGCTGATAAATTCGGTAGAAGATGGTCTGTCGTCTTCGGGGTCGTTTGGTTCCTTGTCGGTGTTATTGTACAAGCTTGTACCCATGGTGGTGATTATAACTTTATCCTTGGTGGTAGATTCGTTGTCGGTGTCGGTGTAGGTATTCTTTCCATGGTTGTCCCATTATATAATGCTGAAGTCTCTCCACCTGAAATTAGAGGTTCTTTAGTTGCTTTACAACAATTGGCTATTACTTTCGGTATTATGATCTCTTATTGGATCACTTATGGTACTGATTATATTGGTGGTGAAGGCGACAATCAAAGTGCTGCTGCTTGGTTAGTTCCAATCTCTATTCAATGTGTTCCTGCTTTAATTTTAGGTTCATGTATTTTCCTCATGCCAGAATCTCCAAGATGGTTAATCAATGTCGGACAAGAAGAAAAGTGTTTAGATGTTCTTGCCAAATTGAGAGGATTAGATAAGAACAATGACTTGATTCAAATGGAATATCTTGAAATGAAAGCTCAACAATTATTCGAAAAGGAATTGGAAGTTACCGCTTACCCTCACTTACAAGATGGTTCAACCATGTCCAACATCAAGATTGGTTTCCATCAATATAAATCCATGTTCACCCATTTTTCTACTTTCAAGAGAGTTTCAGTTGCTTGTTTAATTATGACCTTCCAACAATGGACTGGTGCTAATTTCATTTTATACTACGCTCCATTCATTTTCAACTCCTTAGGTTTATCCGGTAGAACTATTTCCTTATTAGCTTCCGGTGTTGTCGGTATTGCCATGTTCGTTGCAACTATCCCAGCCGTCTTATGGGTTGATCAATTGGGTAGAAAGCCAGTCTTGATCTCCGGTGCTATTGTTATGGGTCTGTGTCATTTTATCGTTGCCGGTATCTTGGGTGGATATGGAGGAGATTTCACAGGACACGCAGGTGCTGGTTGGGCTGCAGTTGTTTTCGTTTGGATCTTCGCTATTGGATTCGGTTATTCTTGGGGTCCATGTGCTTGGGTTATTGTTTCTGAAGTCTTTTCTTTGGGTATGAGAGCTAAGGGTATTTCTATTGGTGCTTCTGCTAATTGGTTAAACAATTTTGCTGTTGCCATGGCCACGCCAGATTTCGTTGCTAGAGCTAAGTATGGTGCTTATATCTTCTTAGGTTTGATGTGTTTCTTTGGTGCTGCTTATGTTTACTTCTTCTGTCCAGAAACTAAGGGTAGAACTTTAGATGAAATTGATGAATTATTCGGTGATACTTCAGGTACTTCTAAGAGAGAAAGAGAAATCCATAACAGAATCCTTAAGGATGTTGGATTATTGGACTTGATGGGTATTAAGGATGAAGAAGATAATGAAAAGACTGAAGAAGTACACATGGAAGTTGTTGACGCTGTCGACACTGAAAGTAACTAAAAGAACAGGTTTCCTTTAGCGGCTGCTACTGTAAATTGATAGAATATAGAATAGAATTTTATATATTTAAAATAAAATATTATAGACTTTAAATTAATCGTATTGAATACGAAAAGTGTTCTTGTCTCTTGTATGATTATCTAGCTCACATTCAAATGAGCTGTAACAAATCAATGCTGGTCGAAAGATATTAACCACGGAAAATCAGAGTCAAACAAAGCACAAGGTTCATTTTCTAATATACTTACTATTTACAGAACATAAAATATCTACATAACATTCATAATCATCTTCACTTGTAAAGAAATCCAAAAATTCCGGCTTTTCTTTTCTCCAATTCCACTTCAGGAATGAACGCATCGGCACATTTCAAAATCTTTTGCACCCCACCTTTAGCATCCATATCTCTACCAATAACGTCCACAAACTTCCCTTCTGGATCCATTAAATAAAAGAAAATCGAATGGTCGACTAAATAATCTTGTCCAGGTTTGACATTTGGCGGAGTTGAGAAATAGACACGATATTGTTTACATGCATTCTTAACTTCATTATAATCACCAGTTAATCCAATTAAATCCGGATGGAAATCGGCCAAATAAGCCTTAACCACTTCCGGAGTATCTCTGGCCGGATCACAAGTAATGAAAATAGGTTGTAATTGAACATTATGAGTCTTTAATTCATCAATCATATCACCCAATTTATCCAATTCTTCGGGACAAACATCAGGACAATGACTAAAACCGAAATAAATAATCGAGAATCGTTTCATATCTGGATCTATTAAATCTTCATCAGTGAATGGTTTCCCATTGGTATCGATAAGTGAGAATGGACCACCAATTAATGGTCTCCCAACTGGTCGATTTTGTTCTAATTCTCGTTGTGTTCTTAATCTTTCCTTTTCTCTTGAGAAGAAATAAGTAACAACACCACCAACTACAACCAACACAACAATGGATTTCCAGGAGATGAATTCTTCACTGTTTTGAGGAGCCCATCTGTTTGTTGTTGGTGTACCACCGATGGCTACTCTACTTAAGGGTCTTTTCTTCTTTGGCGTTGTTTCCAGGGTTTCCTTTGTTTGTTCCTTGTTAGATTCTTGTTGTTGTAAGCATCTAATTGACGATGATAAAAGGGCACGCTGTTCAAATAATGAGACTGCTCTCAATGATGAATGTCTAAGAGACCTCAATGGGATTCTTGATAACATGATTTTGTCTTTAATTTAAGGTGAACTTCTAATGTTGATCTGATTAGAAATAAAAGTGGAACGATGAAAAATCTCCGAAGGAGGTGAAAAAAAAATCAATTTGACAAATATGTCAGCGCTACCCATGCTAAGAATAAAAAAATTCTTAAAACTCCATACTAGGAGCCTAAGGTGATATCATACATCAGTAACTTAATCACATGATGTCGACTTTTCTAATAAGGCTGTACCCATCCACAACATGTCTTTTGATTAGTTCATTCAATTGAACGAACTACTCTTGACATATCTAAGAAGGCTTCATTGCCCAATATCGGGCTTTGATACTCCCATAGTTAAAATCTTTATTCGGATCACCTACCACGGGCGCTACCAGACAAAAATCTTAAGTGTGGTGATGAGGGATGAGTGAGTATCCCTGTTGCCAAAAATGTTGAAAAATTTCAATTCTCATTCTTGCAATAAACAACCGACTTAAAAGAGACTATATATCTAACCAATGCCTAGAAAATCAGACAAGTTCAACGCCCTAATCCAGTGGGCAACATCCAATGGAACAATCATTTCTCCAAATATAACATTCCAAGAAATCTCATCCCACAATAATGGAGCAACCTACACGGCACCGACCGATGGAAATACGGATCTCTTATCCATCCCCAGCCTGATACTTATCACTTCCGAGACTGCTATTGACTATTTCAAACCTTGGGGAAAGGAAGTGAGTGAAAAGACAATAAATGTGAATTCTCTCTTGAAATTATACTTATGTCATGTTTGTTCAACAGACACAACCAATAATGAATTTAGCGCATATTTCAATATATTACCCACTTTGACAGAGATTGGATCTCCATATACATGGACGCCCGGGGATAAAGAACTCCTCAAGGGTACAAATCTTGGAAATAGTCTAAACGAAACCCTAGCCCAATTAATCGAAGAATGGTGGCAATTAATCAATCTAATCCCACAAGATTATCAAAAGCCAAGTCAACATTTTGTTAATATGAAATTTTATTATGAATATAAGTTTTATACCCTGGATGATTATTATAAATATTTCCAGGAATATGATGAGACCAATTGGACTAGTTTTGTGAATTATTTATGGGCCAGTTTGGTGTTGAAATCAAGATCGTTCCCGGCATATCTTACAAACAACCTTTCATTTGCCAAAGATAGTGCGATGTTGGTTCCGGTGTTGGATATGTTGAATCATAACCCCAAGGCACGAGTGGTTTGGGGATTCGAAGATGGGTGTTTTAAGTTTAGGAATGAAGACGGTGGGAAAGTTGGAGAAGAGGTTTATAATAACTATGGAAGAAAGGGAAATGAGGAATTGTTGTTGGCGTATGGGTTTTGTTTTGAGGAGAATGAATCGGATTCGGTGGCTTTGAAGATTAAGATACCTGAAGAGATGTTGGCAGATATTCAGAAAAATGGAGTTAAGTTGCCTACTACTAGTGATTATACTACTTCAGTTGTACGCGATGAAGATAAGAAGGAAGAAGGAGAAGAAGCTAAGGTTGAAGATTATAAGGATGGAGTTTTATTCTTCATAACTAAGGATCACATACCTGAGAATCTTATTCAAACATTCCAATATTTAGTTAGAAATGAATTAGAAGAAGAATCTGACGAAGGTATGACATTAAGAATGAAATTTGCTGGATTGAATCATTTACGTGCAGCCTTAGATCAAAAGAAGAAAATGTTAAAAGGTGGAGACATACCAAAAGATTCAAACCAAATTCATAAATATATCAAATGGTATATTAATTCTCAAACTAAAATCTATGAATCTTCAATTTCTAAAATTAAACAAATTGAAAAGGATTTATTAAAGGAACATAAATCCGATTTGATAACTTTGAAAAATGTATATAAGAAGGATATCAAATTTCAACAATCATTACTTTTATCATTGGGATTCCCAAGTTATGAATCTATTATTGAGAATCAATTTCAAGATCAATGTTGGTTATTATGGTTAATGCGTTGTTTTAATCAGGATGAATATGCCAATGAAATGGAATCAGAACAATATTTACCTGAATGGATTCAAGAATTGTTTAAAAAGGTTCAACAACAAACTAAGATTGATCCACAAGTGATTGTTAATTATCAACCAATTTATGAAATGTTATTCCCAGATATATCTACTGCAGTACCTGAAATATATGGAAAGGGGAAATGGACAGTTGATGAAATGATTATTGCTGCAAAAGTATTAGATCTTATTAGTTTCACAAGAGGGAAAGATCAAGAATGTATATTAGTAAAACAAGACAAGTAATTAAGTACAAAATACAAATAGACAAATAGGTTAATCTTTTTGAAATTAAGAATTAAAAGGATTAGATATGGTACAACGTTTATAAAAATCTATAGTAAATACTCTAATCTTCTTTAATACCACCAGCACCACTAACTTCAGCAGTTTCAATAGATTGCTTATCAGTCTTGACACCACCTGCACCACCAGTTAAAGCGTCCATAATACCTGGAGCAGCCTTGAAAGGTCTCTTTAAATCACCAGTAGCAGGAGTTCCATATAAATGAATCTTAACAATGTTAGTTTCTAAAGCAGATTTGATAGTAGAAATGGATTGCATTAATAATGGATTAGTATATTTCATATAAATATGCATAAAACCCATCATAGCCATACCAGTGAAAACAGATTTCATAGCAGAATTAACTTGTTGTAAATCATATTCTTTAACAGTAGTAACAACAGCCTTTGGTTCAGATTCACCTTGTAATGGGTTAGCAGGTTCAACATATTTTAAAGTAGTTAAATCATTCTTAGCATTAATTTTAGCTCTAACAATGAAATAAATAGTTAATGCTAAAACTTGACAAGTAATATAACCAGCTCTAGTATAAAATAAGATATCAGGATCTTCAAAGTTGATTCTTTTAGAAACTTGCATCATGACAAGCATGAGCATAATATTAGTAACAGCTGGATTCATCGTTGATTGGTTGGTTACTACTTTGATTAATGGATCAATGAAAGATGAAGAGAAGAAAGAAAGAGAAGAGTAAATAAATATTTTTAATAAAAGTTGGAGATTTTTAAATGAAAAAAAAAAAGATTTCGTTGACTGTTGTCCAATTTCTTTTGTTTGGTGAAGAAATTGAAAAGGCAAAAGGCAAAGCAAAAAAAGAAACATTCTAGAAGTTTAAAGAATATTAAAAAAAGAAAGTAATAAATTGGACACTCACTCATAGCTTTTGTATAATTTGAGTTTGTTTGCTTGATTGTAATGTAGAGTAGGTTAATGGTATTGTCATATCCACTCACTTAAGCGGTGAAATAAAACAAGCTTCAACTTACAATTTGTATATGAACAGCCATGAATGTGATTTTGAATCCAAGAAATTTTATTGCCACAAATTCTGAACCAATCACACGACCATTTTTTTTTTAATTTACTCGTTTAATTTTTCGCAACCAATTTTTATTTGCTTGTGCTTTTCACAGCCGTACATATGATATTCTGGATGACACGATAAACATTATACACATCCCTTAAGATGCCGAAACTCATTGGTTTTTACATAGAATCCTTAAACCCGAGAGCTAATCTCCCTATTACTTTTCTTTTAAAAATAGGAAACCACTTAGGAATTACCCGTCTTGCATAATTCCATATTTGCCCAACTGTGAATTAATAATTCCGATGCATGTGTATATCCTTAACTTCGCAAAAATGACAACGTTCAGACAGCCATTAGAAAATACTATGGAAATATGTTGGCTTTATTTCTTCTTTCAGCAAATATAGTCATCAAAATCGATGAGAATGTTGAGCTCGTATCAAATCAAACTACATCTGGCACACATCTTCAAACATCTTATAGGAAAACCGACAATTCATGATAGGTTTTCAAAGAGTCGAGCAGTGCACGATTGACTCTGGCAACTTAGAGCTTTGGCATGAACATAGTGAAAGATTTCATTGCTAAGAGGAGAGAAGATACAAGAGGAAAACGCAATATTCTTGGTGGATTCGCTGATGTACAGGGAATCCCTCAACCCATTTTGTTTCATTAATTATAGCGACTACAATAAGTACAACTCTCCCATCTCATGGAACCAGAGAGCTTGAAATAATAGATAGCTCAATCATGGGTTTTCTCTTGATATTTCTAATATTTATTGTTTTATTTATTTGCTATATAGTCCAACATACGACAACAAAGTATGAAGTTAATTAACCGCTTTAAAAATGTCTGAGAACGAAAAGAACGAGAAGCTCATCTGCAGTAAGAGATGAGGCGAATTCGATGTCATCTCCCGACCAATTCGAAGGCGACTGGACTGATCCACGCTCATGCCCATCATCACCAGCATCACTCGCTGGTATTGGAGAAATTGGAAACACATAGTTGTCGGCACGACGAGGAATATAGAATTTGTCAAGGAAGCTTATCAGGGATTCTACACCAGAATGTAATTCATCTTCCGACTCGTCCTCATACAACTCAAAAGATATTGAAGGAACTAAAGAAAACCCGAATGCGATCTCGTCATCGGTCATATAAGTACTCAAAATCTTTGCCGTATATGCATGATTAATATCCTTCCCAGCCCTAAACACTTGACCTAGACTGCCATTTCCTAAAGGTGCAACAGACGCCATACTAAACATTCTCTCATAGAAATGGGAATATATGGTTTCGATAGCGAGAAGCGGGCTAAACAAACCGTTCACTAAGGCCTGATCCAGGATCGTCATTCTTTTCAATCCTAAAGCTTGAAAAGATGACTCCGCATTCAGATCGTCAAAGGGGATTCTCCCTGTATATAAGTCTAAGAGATCTGGCATCTCTTGAAGTTGTTCTTTTACCCATTCGTGTGCCGCAGAACGATCCATTAAAGAATAGCCTTCATCATCATGTGTCAAGGTTTTCGCAATTTTATCCCGGCAATAGTTTTCAATATAATAATCCAATTTTTGATGTCCTTCCTCATCATTCCATACTAAATTAGTTTCATAATCACCAAACTGTCCTGTATGATTTGTATCCATTGCCATTCTACCATAGAGGTTCGCATTAACTAGTGCTGTCCTGAAAGTAGTCCACGGCCATTTAACTTTTATTTTGGCATCCCTAGTTTCAATATGTCCTAACCCTCTTAAAATAATGTTGATTCCCTCAGGCACAGATATACAATTCAATGGAAAACGTCTAAAGGGAAGATTCTGATTCAAGATGTCTAGCTGACAATTATAAAACAAGTGGTCGGCTGCCTTGAGACAAGACAGGAATATAAGAAGCTTGGCCAGGGTGGATTCGAAGCCAAACATATCGTCCTCTCTAGCTAAAGTCAATATATACAATCGACAAAGTCGAATTGGAAAGGAATCATCAAGTTGAAAGGTCCCTGTAATATTCTTTCTTGTCGTATTCTTTGGATTGACTGTACTGTTTTCAACAGACAGAGCGTTCGCAGACAGATTATCAACTCGCTTGGGAAACCGGTTTAGTAGATGATACACCAAAACAAGGGTCATAATTGAATTTGAATAGAAAATAAAACTGGATGAGATTTCTTGTAATTCTGTCCAAAGAGTTGTATCAAATCTACGGATTTGGTAGCTAATTTATATCTACTCACACCTACTCAAATGTTGGGCTGGGCAGAGCCTAAAGAACTATCAAATCTTAAATTCCCCGAAATATAATATAAGGCTACAGTTGGGGAATGGCTTATCCTATTTTTTTGACCAATATTAGTAATTGCTGCAAAAATATTTTGTTCGTAGTTCTTATCCCTCCACCAATTCATTCCTCAAAAAAAACTGTTGCAACCATTTTGACGAACATTATGCACTCTTATCTTGAGAGCATTCTGCTATCAAGCAAATTACCTACAAGGCCGTAGCCATTAGTATATTTCTACTGATTTGGAATCAGTACTTCTTTTCCATTCTTGTTTTTCGTATAAAAAAATATTCCCTATGTTTGTCCCCTCCTCTCAGCCCACAAAAAGTTTTTATATAGTTACCTACAACAGGCTAAACCCTAAATATTATCTAAACATAGAGGATGCCCTTGACTGAGCAGAGGTGAAGTTCACATGGGTATGCGGGCGAAATGCATTTACGCGCACTCCATGGGACTCCATTCTGCGATTCTAGGACCAGGTCAATTGCGCGTTTCCGACGACTGGACCTCCGCCTGGCGTAGATACAAGAATTGAAATAGGAATAATAATTATACGGTTTAAAGCCTGTTGTTTTCAAGTTTCTCTTATGTGTCATCCAAGATTATGCATGATCTATCATGAGTCTCTACACAAGCTTGCTGGGATAATAAAAGTGGGCTGTCACCAGCAAATGTATCATTCAAATTATCAGTTTAACAAGATGTCTTCTATTCTGGAGGGAGTCACTTGCTCGATATCAGAAAATAACCAATATTCTACAAAACAATGCTTTGTGTCTGAACTCACTTTACCTAACCAATGGACGTAAAGAGTCACAGGATACCTCATATACAGAAGATTAAAGAGTTAAAAAACAGTTAATAAATTAACAAAATCTTTGACTTTTTGCAAACTCGAGCCTGTGATACTAGAATGAGATGTAGGTTGGATTGACGTCGTCCACGAATTACTTAACCAATTCATTAAAACAACCTTCAACCTACCATTGAAAGAAGAATTTGAATTTAAAATTTTTATTGATTCTGAGCTAATCACCCAACTATACAATACTATTCGGAATGAGACAATAACCATTTTAACCACATATTGAAACTAATTGGGTTTACATAGGATCTGTAAAGCCGAGAGTTGGCTATATTATTATCAATATTTTGCTTTAAACATATGATTGTGATTACACAATTCCGGTGCTTGTGGTAAGTAGCGGTTATGTGGTCCTTCCTAATAGGATTAATCACGGAGAAACATGACTTTCACCGGTCGCTAGTAAGTATGTGGCACGGAAGAGCTGCGGACGAGGTTCCTGTGTGTGTAATTTGTTACATTATGGTGATTTCTGAAAATGCCTTGATCCGCTCGGCCAACTCAATCATGGTTGTTCTCTTGATATTCCTAGTGTTTATTGTTTTATCTATTTGCTACATACTCAAACGTATTATACGGGTCAAAATATGAAGTTATCACTCTTAGAAGTGTTTGAGAAAGAAACGAGCAGTAAGCAGGTCTCCAGGGATACGTGATGTGAATTCGATGTCAGCTTCTGACCCGTCCGAAGCTGATTGGACGGACTCATGCTTTTGGGCATCATCCTTAGCATCACTCATTAAATAACCTCTTTAACCTTTGTGTTTCAAGAGACGTACTGGTCCATATATCTTAAACTCAAGGAAGCTTATCAGGGATTTTCCAGCAAAATGCAATTTGCCGTCATAGTCTTCCTCATAGTTCATTTTAAAAGATATCGAAGGAACTAAAGAAAACCCGTATGCGATCTCGTCATCGGTCATGTAAGTACTCAAAATCCTTGCCATATATGCATGATTCTTATCCTTTCCAGCCTTAAACACTTGACCAAGACTACCATTTCCTAAAGGTGCAAGTGCTTGATCGATCCTTCGATTTCCTAAAGGTGCAAGATATCTCATGGAAAACAATTGGTCATATAAACAGGAATATGTGTTTTCGATGGCACGAAGAGGATCAAGCAACCCCTTCACTAAAACTTCATCCAGGATTGTCATTCTTTTTAATCCTAAAGTTTGAAAAACTGGCTCCACATTCGGATCGTCAAAGGGGATTCTCCCTGTATATAAGCCTAAGAGAACAGGCATCTCTTCAAGTTGTTCTTTCACCCATTCGTATGCTGCGAAACAATCAGTTAAAGAATAGCCTTCATCATCAGGCAAAGTTTTAGCAACTTTATCCTTCCAATAGTTTTCAATATAGTGTTCCAATTTTTGATGTCCTTCCTCGTCGTTCCAAACTAAATTAGTTTCATAGTGACCAATATTGCCTTTATGGTTTGTATCCATAGCCATTCTACCATAGAGATTTGCATTAACTAGTGCTGTTCTGAAAGTGGTCCATGGCCATCTGACTTTTATATTGACATCCTTAGTTCTGATATCACCTAATCCTGTTAAAAGAATATCTATTCCTTTTGGCACATATATCCCAATGGAAAAATTCTAAATAGAATATTCTCCCTCAAGACGTCTCGACAACTGTAAAACAAGTGGTTTGCAGCTTTAAGACAAGACATGAATACAAGGAGATTGGCCACGATACTGCGTTCCTTGGCTTCTAACCCAATCATATTATTATCTTCAGTTAAAGTCAATATGAACAAGCGACAAATTCGAATTGGAAAGGAATCATCAAGTTGAAACGTTCCTGTTATATTCTTTCTTGTCGTAATCAGATTGTTTAGAGAGTCGGAACTGGTTGGAGCGGTGGACAGATGAGTGAACCCCTTGATCAAATCATATACTGTATCGTTCTGTTGCGTCATAATTGAATTTGAGTAGAAAACAAAAACTGAATGAGTATTCATATAATAAAAAAACAATCAAATCTGGGGATTTGGCCGCTAATATATATTCTCAAACAGGGCTCAATGTTGGGCTGGGCTGAGTCTAAAGAACTATCGTAAATCCTGAATCCTCTAAAATACGATATAAGTCCACAGGTGGGGAACGGCTGATCCCATTTTTTTGCGCAATATGACGTAATTACCGTAATTGCTGCAAAAAATATTTAGTTCTTATCCGTTCACCAATTAAATCCTCAAAAAACCTCTGCCTATGTTGATGAACAGAATGTAGATCGAGAGTCTTTATATATCAATCGAATTATCTACAATGTCATAGCCATTAGCATATTAAATTGGAATCCGTAGTTCTTGTCTATTCTCGTTTTTCGTATAGGTACAGCACAGATTGAAAAATATTCGGCTTGTCCC